ATCTAGACATAGCTAACTACGTGCCGTTCAGAGGTGGGTCATACCTAGACTTGCCCCCCTACTATAAGAAAAAACATGCCATGGTCAACGTCAAGAATAGAGGAGACGATTGCCTGAGGGTAGCTATCAGGGCAGACTTGTATCCAGTTGACACTCATTCAGACAGGCTTTCTAGCTATCCCCAAGACGATGGGCTCAACTGGGATGGTATAGATGAACCAACCCCCATATCCCAGATCACCAAAGTAGAAAAACAGAATAACATAGCCATAAACGTCTTTGGGCAGGAAGGTAACACAACAATAGGGCACAGGGTCAGTCCAGTGTTGGGGGAGGAGGGTCGCCACGTTACCAATATATTCATGACCCAGCGAGGTGAAAAGTATCACTACATGCGGATAAAACATCTCAGCAGGCTATTGCACGACCAGTCGAAACACGTTGGGAAAAAACACTTTTGTGTGCGATGTTTGCACGGTTTCAGTCGAGCTGATTTATTAGAATCCCACCGGGAGGATTGCCAAGGTGTGGGGCAGACGGCCATACGAGTCGACATGCCTAAGGAAGATGACAATATCCTAAAATTCGGCAACCACAAGAACCAAATGTCTGTGCCTTATGTCATCTATGCCGACTTTGAAGCCTTGGTCAAACCAGTTGAGGTTGCCGGGGGTACGGCTGTTTGGGGGACCCCAACCACACAGAAAACACAAGAGCATGAGGCTTGTGGGTTTGGATACGTTGTCGTCCGGTGTGATGGGAAAACGAAAGCTCCCGTAGCTGAAAAGTTTCTAAAGTGTTTGCAGGAGGAAGAAAAAATTATTAGGAATGCACTGTATACAGTCGCTCCCATGCGTATGACCAAAGCTGACCGGCTAGCCCACGCCTGTAGCACTAACTGCCACGTGTGTGACTCACCACTTAACGGTGATTCGGTGAGAGATCACTGCCACGTCACTGGTAAGTATAGAGGCGCCGCTCACAGTGGGTGTAACCTCAAGCTTAGAATCAACCCCAAGACAATAAACATCCCCGTGGTCTTTCACAACTTGAGAGGGTACGACTCTCACTTTATTATGCAGGCCATCGCGAGGGTTGACGGCAACCTGACGTGCATCCCCAACAACATGGAGAGATACATTTCCTTCAGCTTGAATGGCCTGAGGTTCATCGACTCGGTTCAGTTCCTCCTGTCGTCACTCGACAGTCTTGTCAAGGCCAACGATACCTTCCCCATCACCGATCGATACACCGACGCCGAGACTCGACCCCTGCTGATGAGGAAAGGTGTGTACCCCTACGAGTACATGAATGGCTGGGCCAAGTTCGCCAAGACCAGACTACCCCCCATCAGAGAATTTTACAGCAACCTGACCGACTCGGCAATCACCCAAGACGATTACTCACACGCTATTAACGTATGGAATAAACTGGGATGTAAGAATCTGGGTGACTATCACGACCTATACTTGAGGACAGATGTACCGCTGTTAGCCGACGTGTTTGAGACGTTTAGGCGGACATGTTTCAAGCAGTATAAACTCGACCCCGCATGGTACTACACCAGCCCAGGTCTGTCGTGGGATGCCTTGCTGAAAAGTTAAGTTGGAATTGCTCACAGATTACGACATGCACCTATTCATTGAGAAAGGCTTGCGAGGTGGGATTTCCATGGCAACCAAACGATACGCGAAAGCAAATAATCAATACGTGAAGGGCTACGACCCGAGCAAGCCAACCAATCATATTCTCTACCTCGACGCCAACAACCTGTACGGCTGGGCCATGAGCCAGTATCTACCCACAGGGGGATTCGAATGGGAATCGCACGAGGTCGATGTTATGAGCATCGCACCAGATTCGAACAAAGGTTATATCCTCGAGGTGGACTTGGAATACCCCAAGGCATTACACACATCACACAACAGCTACCCCCTGGCCCCCGAACGTATGAGGGTTAACCCAGACTGGATGTCTGAGTACCAACATAACTTGTTAGGTGGGCGGGTGGCAGACGTTGAAAAACTCGTGCCCAACTTAATGAATAAGACCAAGTACATCGTTCACTATCGCAACCTTCAGCTGTACCTGTCGTTGGGTATGAGGCTGACCAAAATACACAGGGTGCTCGTGTTCAACCAGAGCCCATGGATGGAGCCATACATCAGAATGAACATGGACCTGTGAAAGCTTGCCACCAGTGACTTTGAGAAAAATCTCTACAAGCTCATGAACAACTCGGTGTTTGGTAAGACTATGGAGAACCTGAGGAAACGCGTGACCGTGAAGCTGGTTCGGTCGAATGAGGAAGACAAGCTCAGGAGGCTGATAGCCAGTCCGGCATTCAACCGTAGCAAGATATTCACCAACGACCTGGTTGCCCTACACATGAAGAAAAGCCACATAAAATTCAACCGGCCTGTTTACGTGGGGATGAGCATCCTCGATTTATCCAAACACCTGATGTACGACTTTTACTAAAACGAGCTGAAGAAACAGTACGACGACAGGTGTGAAGTGCTTTACACTGACACGGATTCCCTGCTGATGGAGATTCGAACCGAGGACGTGTATGAGGACATGAAAAAACGCCTCGATTTGTATGACACCAGTGACTACCCCAAGGGCCATGCCATACACAGCACGGTAAATAAAAACGTCCTAGGTAAGATGAAGGACGAGTGTGCTGGCACGTCCATAGCCGAGTACATAGGCTTGAGGCCTAAGATGTACTCCATCCTGAAGGCCGACAATGGTGAGATTCGGAAGGCGAAAGGTGTTAAGAAGTATGTGGTAAAACAACACATCAAACACGCCAGATTCAAGGAAGCCCTGTTCAAGACCCGTACCTTCAGGCATAAAATGAACACACTTAGAAGTGATGGGCATAGGATATATGGACTGACGATAAACAAGACGTCCCTGTCGCCGATGGACACTAAGCGTTGGATAGCTATTGATGGGATAAACACGTACGCGTACGGGCATGAGAAAATTGAACCAAGAACATAGGTGTATATAGGCGGCATGTCACGGAACCAGAGAAAGTTTGAGGCCATTTACTACAGCCCGCGTGGGTACTGGAAAGGAGCTAGCGCTGTACATAAGCTGGCTAAAATGGCGCGAGTACCCCGGAGGAGGCCAAAGCATGGCTTGAAAAACAAGCCCTGGGGCAGATCTATTTACCGGCACCACGCTACGTGCCTAGAAGGAAATTCTGCATTAACATACCCAATAGCGTTCACCAGGCCGACCTCCTATTCCTACCCCACGACAAGAGGTACAAGTATGCCTTAACCTTCGTGGATGTGGCCAGTCGCTACAAGGAAGCCGAACCCTTGACCGCGAAAGACTCGGCCCAGGTAGCCCGCGGATTCGAACGCATATACAAACGCAGTCCGCTGACGTGGCCAACAGAGCTGCAAGTTGACCCCGGGCGGGAGTTCATGGGTGTCGTGTCACACCTGTTAGACAATAACGATACAAAGGTCAGGCGTGGCACGGCCGGAGCCCATCGCAGCCAAGCCATAGAGATTCAATAGGACTTTGGCTGAGCGCTTATTCGGACATCAGTATGCGAGGGAGATGGCCAACCCGGGGAAGCGATCAACTGAATGGGTCGCGCGGCTACCTAAGGTGGTGTCGGCAATCAACCATGAAGCCACCCGTCTCACCGGCAAGAAACCGGCAGACGCTATCAAACTAAAATCAATAGTGGCAGAGTCGGCTGCTCCATTGCGTGGGAAAGAGAAACAGATACCAGACAGGGCCCTCGTGAGGTATCTATACCAGACGGGGGGAACACGAGGGCGATAGCCGTAAGCGAGCCACCGATCCTATATGGTCAGTCAAAACTTACAACATAGATAAAGTGGACATGAAAGCCGACGAGCCGCACAATAGTGCCACGTGTGGGCGGGAAATCAACGGGGCCTCAAAAGTAGTAGATGCAATGGTAGCAAGATCTAAGTGCCCGACAAAAGCCTTATTTGTGAAATAAGGCTTTGCAGAGGCTTTTTGTTGGACTAGGTTCAGGACTATCATTGTATATACTACTGTATGTTAGTGTTGATGAATGCATGTTAGTATGTGTAGTTCATTTTAATGTGGGCTAGTCTATGTTAGTATAGATGTATGTATGTTAGTGTGTGTTAGTGCATTTTAGTGTAGGCTAGTCTATGTTAGTATGGATGAATGTATGTTTTTGTGTGTTAGTGCATTTTAGTGTGGGTTAGTCTATGTTATAGTATCAGTAAGGAGAAGATATATGGATGAACAACTTCTTAATTTATTTTTGACAATCAGTTCCAATGTTTCGGTGTATATTCGGCGAAGTCATGTTGTCAGCTTTTAAGCTTGTTTAACCAAGGACCACACTCCTGGTATTTTGTTTCGTGTACGGTAACAATATTTAATGAATGTGGTATGTAGCGTGTATAATATCGTAACAATAGCGAGGGAAACTCAACGCACAGATCGGTGTTGAAAACATTGATTACATTTCGCCCATGTCATAACAACTTAAGGAAGTAATTGACGTATACCTTGCTATAGGACTTGGATATTTATATTGTTATTATATGGTGTGTCGCCCATTAGTGGACGCGGCCAAGGTGCAGTCCTTACACAGGGAACGAACGCTTTAACCACAAGGCTACCTCACCGCACCTTCTCGAAACAGAGTGAGTGAGTTGGGTTTTACGCTGCATTTAGTAAATATGCAGCAGTATCACGGCAGTAAACAGCAGAAATGGGCTTCACACAATGTACCCACATGGGGAATCGAACCGGGATCATCGATGTGACGAGCCAACGCCTTAACCACTGGACTAACCAACCGCAACTTCTCAAATTAAATCGAGCTGACATGAACATTGGTAAGGTGTCTTTTTGAAAGGTTTTTTTTTCAAACCACGACTCACCAAACAACGTGGGATGACATTTCACAGCACCTGCCTGCGAGGGTCGTAGACTAAATAGAGAGGACACAAAACATTAAATGTTTGCTGTGATGATTTATTTAAATCATTGAATCAACAAGTTGATCGTTAGCTTCATTCTGCGTCCTCTTCCACTGCAGTACTGTACTCTTCCTGCAATCCCGGATCTGAAAGGAGACAATGTACACCAATTAACGCAACCAGTTTCTCTGTTCAGAAAATAGATCGAATCAGTAAATTGTGTATTGGGTGGTCGTTTGGCACAGGGTCCGCTGAGCCTGGTTCGCTCTTTATTATGATCTTTATGATCCTTTATCCACTCCCCATTGAACCCACAACCCCTTCCCTCCTGGCCCACCTTCCTTTAATTCTCAACTACCTCTTTCACTCTGTAAGCAGCATTTAGAAGCTGGTATGATGAAGAGGAACGCTGTTTATGGATAGACAACTTCTTTGTTGCAGTAGGTGCGACGTTACGGTGTAGACCCTAACACCGTTATCTTTTACTCTAATCAAATTCCAACTTTCCATTACCTGAATCTATGGTCAGGAAGTCATCGATGCTTCTCGAGAACTCTTCCAGACTTACGTTCGAGTCTCCTGAAAATATGATTTGTCAATATGCATTCAAGACGTGATACGGATTTACCTTCTAATTTCCCCCTCTCACTAACAAACACACACACACACACACACACACCCAAAAAAAGAAAAAAAAAAAGAAAAACAATGTAAATAATAAATAAATAAATAAATATAAACTAAACAAAAAATTAAAAATTGATAATGACTTTAAAGATATAGATATTTATTTAAGTCTTAAAAAAGAATTGATAAGAGAAAGAATGAAAATATCGCATTTTTTACCATTTTCATCAGCAAGTGAAAGTAGATCCTCGGCTGCCCGTCTTTCCATTAATTTCTCAGCTTCTGATTGGTCAATGTTGCCATCCTTGTTCTGATCAAGATCATCGATACTACGCTTACCCAGGGCTCCTGTAATCAAAGAAAGGCATTTATCAACGGAATGCAGATCCACCGCATAACCCATGTTGGAATCATCTGACAAATACGTACACTTTGTACTCTTCGATGTAACTAAATTATTATTCCTTGGTCGTACGATGGTAACACGGTAGTTGCCTCCCATTTTCGCCCCAGGATCCGCTTTTCAATGAAGGGTCAAGGGAATATGACAGGCATACAGGTGCGTGCTGGGAGCATTACTACACGTGATCACATGACATTGTTTTATCTAGATATCACTACACTAGTGCTATTCACAAAACCCCAAGATATCTCCATCACATTTTACAAGAATATTTGATTACATTTGGAGGAATTAGCGCCTGCACTTTATTCTTAAAATATACTTCCATTATATTCGGATGTCCAGGGGGGCGACAGGGGTAACCTAGTTCATGGTTAAAGCGTTCGCTCGTCCTGTCGGAGACTCTGGTTCGATTCACTTTATGGGTACAACGTGTGAAGCCCAGTTCTGGTGTCCCCGCCATAATATTGCTGAATTATTGCTAAACACGGCGAAAACCTAACTCACTCACTTTGGGTATTCTGAGTGTCAGGATGGGGGAAATCTGAGTGGGTGTTGGCATGCGAAGAGTTTGCGGTTTGGGCATGAAACTGACTCAATGTAAACACATTGATACTGGATATCTATTTGTACAGCCTTGCTAAACTTTCCTAAGTAGGTTGTAAACTTTTCATTGACTTTCAGCAGTGCTACGGGGGCAAAGGAACTTTCTATGTTTGTGGATATGTAAAAGAAACTGCCCTTAAAAACATATAAAAAGATAAAGTAAAAAAAGAAAACAAATTTGGAGTTTCCTCTAAAAGGTACCTTAATATTTTGTCTTGTGGATAATGTTTTTAAAATGGTCTTGTCGTTAAACCTCTTGTAACTATTTTATCCGGTATTTATTTTAAAGGGGCGTTGGACCAAACGCATCGATTGTATGCATAACGTAGTTTTGGAATGAACAAGGAACTTTCATTGCGTTCATCATACTGTATGTAGCCTTATTGTTCTTCATGATTGTTACACTTTCCATTTCAACAAAATGTAGCTGGAAGTCTGACGACTCACCGATTACTGGGTTGATTATGCCTTTATGATCCCTGTAAAATCTGTAAATCCTTCCCGCGGTACGAAGAAGTCGACGACCCCTGAATCTGAACCACCTTCTTCTCCTCCTTCTCCTTCTTCTCCAGGCGTCGGAATCCGGCAACAGCACCAGGGCCACCAGCAGGAGGACAAGGAACATGCGCATCCTGATCAGCTGATATTATCTTCCTGGCATAAAGATCAATCTGCATATTACAAGTACAATCACCAGTGGAACAAACTAGAGAGAGAGAGAAGTGCTTCTCCTCAGTTTATCAACATGATTATTCCGATAGCTGATAACTTTGTAATATGTTTTATGAAAAACGCAAACGCGAGCGCTAAGGTGAACTTTCCACTGTGGTTAGTGGTTGAAAACCACGTTTCACGTAGGCCGGTGTAACATACCGAATCACCCCCTATAGGCCACTTCGGCCTAAGCCAGTCAATCCCGGCCAGGCCTTTCCCTCTCGAGTTACAGCGGGGAAGGTCCAGCCTTGGCCAGTTCTTTGAATGCACCTCTTATAATTCCAACCTCAGCCAGTTCTCCCCATCTTTCAGTTCCGGATCCCAACCAAGGCTGGGTCTTCCCCTCTTTTGATTCCAACCAAGGCTGGTTCTTCCCCCCTTTTGATTCCAACCAAGGCTGGCTCTTCCCCTCTTTTGATTCCAACCAAGGCTGGTTCTTCCCCTCTTTTGATTCCAACCAAGGCTGGTTCTTCCCCTCTTTTGAGTCCAACCAAGGCTGGTTCTCCCCCTCTTTTGATTCCAACTAATTTGCAAGGCCGGTTTTATACCTCTTTCAATCCCGTCTAAGGTTGGTTCTTCTCCTCTTTAGATTCCAACCAGGGCTAGCCCTTCCCCTAATTTGACTCCAACCAAGGCCGATTCCTCCCCAAACAACGAGAGAATGAAATATATGACCACCATTACTTCTGCTATCTATCATTGGTGGCAATAATGGCGTCATAACTGAACAATTTACATGCAACATATTTGAACATTTATCATTTATGCATTATTCGGGGGGTATAAAATGCATGTACATTCACGAAAATCAAAGACAGCGCAAATTCACATGTACATACATTGCATAACAGGGGCGGATACAGCTTTTTGAGAAGGGGGGGGGGGATGCACACTCTTGAGAAAGTTGGGGTGCACACTTCATTTTCACGAGAGAGTTTCAATGGTCATTTGATGAATGTAACGCCGCACACAGCAATATCTATATGATACTCAGCAATAGATGTATGGCAGAGGTAAGTAAATAATCGAGGCTCGACCAGACAATCCAGTGTCCATGACAATCCATGAGCATCTATCTATTTAACTGATTTTGCATTGGAATAGCTGTTACCATTCAATATAATTACGCAGTTAAATATCAAGAAGTTTGTAATTTTTGTCCAATTTTTTCAAACAATCGGACTCCGGTTAACACTACGCTTTATATAAACAAGTGATTTCTGCAGGTGTATAAGCAATAAATATATAAAATATGAGTCCAGATATTTCTTCTTGTCAAACATCCTTTATATCTGCACAAGATCTTTCGCCGTTCAACGGCTCTTCAGGTGTACAATGAAAGCTGAGTGTCGTCATAGTTATGTGTCGCCTAGTTTTCATACAAATATATAAATATATATGTATATATCTAACAAATCCTGCATCAGAAAATTTAACGAAAACAGTATCACAAAAACGCTACTTACCCAAAGCAGACAGATGAACAAGTATCTGCAGATTGGGGATACACAGGTTATATTTATACAGATTTACATGAAAAACGTGTGAAGAGAACAGTACGAACACCTCAAAACAACGATGATATCTTAGGGACAGTAGAACGTCCTCTGATTGGTGGATTTGTTGGGTATCTCTGTCATCACAGAACAGCCGGGAGAAGGATGTCAGGACTATTTTTGATGTATCGTCCTTGCAGGCGTGGTAACGGTTTGTGGTGTTAAAGCGTATTATGTTTGACCACACTTTCAACACTAGATTACGAGATATGAACTTTCCCATCCTGTATTGGTGACAACTTTGATGATAGTTACGCTTTGTTTTACGCAGTCGATAGTAACAGCTGTACTCGAGTGCATACTTTGTTATTGTGACAATAATAATAATTATGATAATAATCCAACCGCCTGGATGAATTCGGCTGGTCTTAAATGTGAAACTGAGAACTTTTTGTTTGCTTCTCACTTCCCACTCGCAATCCCCAAAGTGTGATTCTTAAACAAAATATCAATGTGAAATGTCGACTTTGCTATGAATATACAGGGACTGTGCACACCATGTCAGTGGATGCCCTTCCTTGGCACAGACAGCATATCATGGCTCGCTGCTTCTACCATCGTCTTCGCCAATCCTGGAGCTCCATCCACGGTACGACTCTGAACATGTCAAGGGCGTCATGGAAAATGATGTTTTTAAACTTCTTTGGAATAGGCCCATATACAGCCTCGGAAGAATTCCAGCTAACAAACCAGAACTTGTCCTTTTCATAAATGAATTTATTGACATCATTGAATTTTCTGTCCCGTTTGACAGCAACGCTTTTGGCAAGATTCATGACAAGCATGCTAAATATGCGGACCTCGCCTTCGCAATCCCAAGTACACATTCGTCAGGCTCCCCATTGTTCTGGGTGCACCTGGTTTGGTACCTCCTGATCTCTTGGCGCAGATCAGCAGAGTGCCCGGGTTCTCCACCGGGAGAACAGCCCTTCTGACACTCTGGGTAATGCAGAAGGCTGCAGTGTTGGGGAGCCTTCATATTCTCCGGAAAGTTCTTGGTGGGTTCGACTGAGCAGTGTTTCCTGGGAGAAGTCCCATTCGCTGTCTGGGCTGCGTGTAAGAGGGGGCAAGGGCCCTGAGCTGATGATGAGCCTTACCAGCCTGACTGTGCCAGGATCACCCGAACCCTCTCTGCTGCACACTATCTTTAACCTGTAAAACATACTATAAATCAAAATCGTCAGAAACGTTACCAAACCAGCAGTAAAACACGACATTGCTGTATTGCATTTTCAATGGGAGGATATTCATCGGTGTAAAATTAATGTTAAACCTTCACCTTTTGTAGAGATGTGTTTGGTTAATCTACACAGCATAAGTTAGGTTTGTGTTGGCTTTAACATGTCGACCTATATTCATTTTTAAAGGCGACTAACGGGATCGGGTGGTCAGGCTCGCTGACTTGGTTCACACATGTCATCGGTTCACAATTGCGTAGATCGATGTTCATGCTGTTGATCACTGGGTTGTCTGGTCCAGATTCGATTATTTACAGATCGTCGCCATATAGCTTGAATATTGCTGAGTGCGGCGTAAAACAAAACTCACTCACTCACCTAATGAAAATAAGTGATGACACATCTGAAGGCGTACGTAAGGCGTTAAGGAACCGGTTGTATCAATGCTAAATACTGGCTACATTTACCCATTAAGGGTTATTTGATTCTTAATTTTTGGGGGTATAAACGTGGATTGCACACTACTGTCATAAAGGGAATCTGAAACTTAAAGTTAAACGTTTACCTGCAAACAGTCAGTAAGAGAACTTGGTGCGAAACCAAAACCAAAAACAAAACAAACCAAGACACGTGCTGTAATTAACAGTGACTGAGTTCACAAATCAATACTTAAGTGGAACTAGGGGAGTATAACACAAGGGGTGGGACAAACTCAGAGGTAGTATAATAGAAGAGCCGTGATTAAAACAGAAAAATAACGTCAGTTCACCTTGTGACTGTACATAAAGAATTGCAGCATTAATAACAATATAAGTTTGATATTTAAATTTAATTTGATGTAGTTCAGTCACGTGACTCGGATAGTCACGGAAATCCTGCAATTTCATTTTCGGATAGAGCCATAGCAAATAAACATGATCTACATGTGTCGCTGGTTATTGAGTGTTCCATTATGACAACCGCTATTAGCAGACTGCAGTATCTGAAACTGTGTGTGTACTGCATAGTAGGGTGCACTCTGGATACACTAACGGGTGTGAAAAACGGAGTGGGGCGGAACGTGATCTGACACATGGCGGGGAAAACAACATTGGGTGTTTTGTTTGATTGCGATGTGCTGATAAATGCCTAACCCTGGATGCAACAGGTGCATGTGTGGTAACCGATGTTAAATGTTAGTTCATCCCCGTGGCCAGAGACAAACACGATTCCTGGGGAAAACACGCCAGCCCTAACCGATGTAATCAGCTGGAGCGTGAATCTCATATAGGCTATGTGTAACCAGCAATCACTGGTGAAATGGGTCCGACAATGCTGCGTATATACAACCATATATAACAATATTCGTAATCAGTGATGAAATGACTCTAACATATGCTATGTATGTATAATCAACCATATATAACAATCAACGTACTCAATGATGAAATGACTCTAACATATGATATTTATGTATAATCAACAATATATAACAATAAACGTAATCAGTGATGAAATGACTCTAACATATGCTATGTATGTATAATCAACAATATATAACAATAAACGTAATCAGTGATGAAATGACTCTAGCATATGCTATGTATGTATAATCAACCATATATAACAATAAACGTACTCAATGATGAAATAACTCTAACATATGCTATGTATGTATAATCAACAATATATAACAATAAACGTAATCAGTGATGAAATGACTCTAATATATGCTATATATGTATAATCAGCCATATATAACAATAAACGTAATCAGTGATGAAATGACTCTAATATATGCTATGTATGTATAATCAACAATGTATAACAATAAACGTAATCAGTGATGAAATGACTTTAACATATGCTATTTATGTATAATCAACAATATATAACAATACACGTAATCAGTGATGAAATTACTCTAACATATGCTATGTATGTATTATGAACACTCAATAACAATAAACGTAATCAGTGATGAAATGACTCTAACAATGATATTTATGTATAATCAACAATATTTAAAAATAAGCGTAATCAATGATGAAATGACTCTAACATATGCTATGTATGTATAATCAACCATATATAACAAGAAACGTACTCAATGATGAAATGACCCTAACATATGCTATGTATGTATAATCAACAATCTCTTACAATAAACGTAATCAGTGATGAAATGACTCTAATATATACTATGTATGTATAATCAACAATACATAACAATAAACGTAATCAGTGATGAAATGACTCTAACAATGATATTTATGTATAATCAACAATATATAACAATAAACGTAAAATAGTGATGAAATGACTCTAACATATCCTATGTATGTATAATCAACAATATATAACAATAAACGTAATCAGTGATGAAATGACTCTAATATATGCTATGCATGTATAATCAACAATATATAACAATAAACGTAATCAGTTATGAAATGTCTCTAACAATGATACTTATGTATAATCAACAATGTATAACAATAAACGTATTCAGTGATGAAATGACTAACATATGCTATGTATGTATAATGAACAATGTATAACAATAAACGGAATCAGTGATGACATGACTCTAACAAACCCAATGTATGTATAATCAACAATATATAACAATAAACGTAATCAGTGATGAAATGACTCTAACATATGCTATTTATGTATAATCAACAATATATAATAATAAACGTAATCAATGATGAAATGACTCTAACATATGCTATGTATGTATAATCAACCATATATAACAATAAACGTACTCAATGATGAAATAACTCTAACATATGCTATGTATGTATAATCAACAATATATAGCAATAAACGTAATCAGTGATGAAATGACTCTAATATATACTTTGTATGTATAATCAACAATATATAACAATAAACGTAATCAGTGATGAAATGACTCTAATATATGCTATATATGTATAATCAGCCATATATAACAATAAACGTAATCAGTGATGAAATGACTCTAATATATGCTATATATGTATAATCAGCCATATATAACAATAAACGTAATCAATGATGAAATGACTAACATATGCTATGTATGTATAATCAACAATATATAACAATAAACATAATCAGTAATGGAATGACTCTAATATATGCTATGTATGTATAATCAACAATACATAACAATAAACGTAATCAGTGATGAAATAACTCTAACAATGATATTTATGTATAATCAACAATATATAACAATAAACGTAAAATAGTGATGAAATGACTCTAAGATATGCTATGTATGTATAATCAACAATATATAACAATAAACGTAATCAGTGATGAAATGACTCTAACATATCCTATGTATGTATAATCAACCATATATAACAATAAACGTAATCAGTGATGAAATGACTCTAATATATGCTATGCATGTATAATCAACAATATATAACAATAAACGTAATCAGTGATGAAATGACTCTAACAATGATATTTATGTATAATCAACAATGTATAACAATAAACGTAATCAGTGATGAAATGACTCTAACTCATGCTAGGTATGTATTATGAACAATCAATAACAATAAACGTAATCAGTGATGAAATGACTCTAACAATGATATTTATGTATAATCAACAATCTATAACAATAAACGTAATCAATGATGAAATGACTCTAACATATGCTATGAATGTATTATGATCAATCAATAACAATAAACGTAATCAGTGATGAAATGACTCTAACATATGCTATGTATGTATAATCAACAATCTCTAACAATAAACGTAATGAGTGATGAAATGACTCTAACATATGCTATGTATGTATTATGAACAATCAATAACAATAAACGTAATCAGTGATGAAATGACTCTAACACTGATATTTATGTATAATCAACAATATATAACAATAAACGTAATCAATGATGAAATGACTCTAACATATGCTATGTATGTATAATGAACAATGTATAACAATAAACGTAATCAATGATGAAATGACTCTAACATATGCTATGTATGTATAATCAACCATATATAACAATAAACGTAATCAATGATGAAGTGACTCTAACATATGCTATGTATGTATTATGAAGAATCAATAACAATAAACGTAATCAATGATGAAATGACTCTAACATATGCTATGTATGTATAATCAACAATCTATAACAATAAACGTAATCAATGATGAAATGACTCTAGCATATGCTATGTATGTATAATCAACAATATATAACAATATACGTAATCAGTGATGAAATGACTCTAACCTATGCTATGTATGTATAATCAACAATATATAACAATAAACGTAATCAGTGATGAAATGACTCTAACATATGCTATGTATGTATAATCAACAATATATAACAATAAACGTAATCAGTGATGAAATGACTCTAACATATGCTATGTATGTATTATGAAGAATCAATAACAATAAACGTAATCAATGATGAAATGACTCTAACATATGCTATGTATGTATAATCAACAATCTATAACAATAAACGTAATCAATGATGAAATGACTCTAGCATATGCTATGTATGTATAATCAACAATATATAACAATATACGTAATCAGTGATGAAATGACTCTAACCTATGCTATGTATGTATAATCAACAATATATAACAATAAACGTAATCAGTGATGAAATAACTCTAACATTTGCTATGTATGTATAATCAACAATATATAACAATAAACGTAATCAGTGATGAAATGACTCTAACATATGCTATGTATGTATTATGAAGAATCAATAACAATAAACGTAATCAATGATGAAATGACTCTAACATATGCTATGTATGTATAATCAACAATCTATAACAATAAACGTAATCAATGATGAAATGACTCTAGCATATGCTATGTATGTATAATCAACAATATATAACAATATACGTAATCAGTGATGAAATGACTCTAACCTATGCTATGTATGTATAATCAACAATATATAACAATATACGTAATCAGTGATGAAATGACTCTAATATATGCTATGTATGTATAATCAACAATATATAACAATAAACGTAATCAATGATGAAATGACTCTAACCTATGCTATGTATGTATAATCAACAATATATAACAATATACGTAATCAGTGATGAAATAACTCTAACATATGCTATGTATGTATAATCAACAATCTATAACAATAAACGTAATCAATGATGAAATGACTCTAACCTATGCTATGTATGTATAATCAACAATATATAACAATATACGTAATCAGTGATGAAATGACTCTAACATATGCTATGTATGTAAAATCAACAATATATAACAATATACGTAATCAGTGATGAAATGACTCTAACATATGCTATGTATGTATAATCAACAATCTATAACAATAAACGTAATCAGTGATGAAATGACTCTAACATATGCTATGTATGTATAATCAACAATATATAACAATATACGTAATCAGTGATGAAATGACTCTAACATATGCTATGTATGTATAATCAACAATATATAACAATAAACGTAATCAGTGATGAAATAACTCTAACATATGCTATGTATGTTTAATCAACAATCTATAACAATAAACGTTATCAGTGATGAAATGACTCTAACAATGATATTTATGTATAATCAACAATATATAAAAATAAGCGTAATCAGTGATGAAATAACTCTAACATATGCTATGTATGTATTATGAACAATCAATAACAATAAACGTAATCAGTGATGAAATGACTCTAACAATGATGTTTATGTATAATCAACAATACATAACAATAAACGTAATCAATCATGAAATGACTCTAACATATGCTACGTATGTATAATCAACAATCTCTAACAATAAACGTAATCAGTGATGAAATGACTCCGACATATACCATGCTATGTAAAATTAGCAATACATAACATTAAACGTCTCTGACAATTCTATTCTATTCTGTGTATAATCGGCAATATCAACAGATGTAGTAATGTGTTGAAACTAAACTTGAATTCAGTCCGTAAAAGAATATATTGTGATACCAACAAAGGAATATGATACAATTAATAATTGTATTTTAAAGTTAAATATGTTTGGAGTTTACAAAGTAATACAAATCACTACCAAGGTATTCCGGTGACAGTACAAATTCAAATCAGCAACACAAAGCAGTTATAGTAAGACAACGGTTGCGATACCTGACTTCAACAACGTTCAATTTTCGAAATTAGGCTGAGCATCCAGGATAAGAATGATTTCAACACAACTGAGATGATAGGCAATAGTTACCTCCCCTTATATACATATATCCATTAAAGAACATTCGAAAGGAAAGCATCCCAAATAAATACTTAATTCGACCTTCGGTACAACAATTATTTCGCCTTGGCAACCACAAACTATCAAGATTAAAAATCATTTATGCTATACTTAAAATATGTCTCTTCAGACATCCTCTATCACAACGCAAATTTGTTAATCTAATGTCTTCATCAAATATAAATGTCTATTTTTATATAATGTTAGAAAAAAAATTAAATTCTGTTGTTTGTGTTTAAAACTCATGCAAAATATATATTTATGAATGTATTTTGGGCCAGTGGCCTTTTTACTGAATAAAATGTCTGTCTCTCTGTCTATCTGTCTGTCAAATAGGCCTATACACACTGGATCTAAGATGCCGCTGGTAACGCACGTTACCAGTATCCCAACATGGCGGCAGGTAAGATCGCTTGGCGATTATTCCCCTCGAATTAGCAGCCTTCCACGTGCATACGATCAACATTATTTAGCACACTGATAAACTTTGATGGTGGAAATGCATTCAATGCTCTGAATTTGCTTATTAATGCCTATGTGTTGAAGAATAAGCATTTTTAAAATCGCGCGAGAATGTCGGTAACTCAAACTCTGGATGTCGGTAACTTGCAATGAATGATGCTGGTAACACATACTGTCTTGCTTTAGTCGAGTTATATTAAACACAAAGGAGACACAAATATCAGTTGTTATGTTTTACACAGATGTGTACTGCTGCTACATTAACAGTATGAGCGATATTTTCTGTACACCGGAGAGTTGTTGCTTGTCTTGAAGCAGGTGTGTTTAATCACACTAGTTATGTGGCGTTTTATTGAACTTGAACGGATTTAGATGTGTTTGCCCATTGTTCATTACGCTGAAAGCTTTTTCTCTGTCCCTCCGCATTTCGGACATTTGACATGTTGATTTCGTTGCAATGTAGGCATTTAAAGTACATTTTACATGATGCATTTATTGGGTAGGCCTGAATATATAAAGCTAAATAGTCTGTCAACTTAACTTTAGGGACTGCATATTTTAGCAATATTTTTGTTGTTATTCGTTTCAGTGTAAAAGTGTTTACATGTACCCTCATGTTTCTCCGTGACCTCAGGAACCTATTATCAATATCACGGTGATCGCCTATTAAAAAAGTTACCTATATAACTATCTTTCTTTTATCCTGATTGTTTTGGTCAACTCAGTCTGGACACGGGTTCAATTGCTGTCTGACCGGTGACAGACACCTGCAGGTGCAAAATATGCACTCCCTAAAGTTAGGTTGACGTCTAGACATTTGTTTATTGATTGTTTCGAGGTGCATTTTCTGAAAATGGTGTCCTAAATCATATTTCATTCTGAGCATGCATTCATAACAACCCACATATACGTGGACACAATTTGAATGAAACACTCGCTCCCTACTGCTGAGTGGACGTGAGCAGCATCTACAGACACATAGTTTCCAGAAGTTGCTGACGACGAACCAATATGGCGCCGGATGTTGTCGAGCAACGAAAATGTGAGTGGAAATATCGTTAAAACATTTACTTTCTACGTATATTTAACTTTATTTTCAGTCTATTCTGAGTTTTTCTCATCTCTGATTTTTTGTGAAATACAAGAACCTGGTTAAGCATATGACCGACATACATCACGTCGTCTCAACCGCCAGTACTGCTGTAGCCAGGGAAACCCGTGTCGAGCCAACACCCCGCTCCCTGGCGAAGTCCTTCAGTCTTCATACAAATTGTGAACTCATCGTGGACGGTGTTCCCCTTATTACCAGCTTCAGGAGTGAGTCTCTCCCCCAGATACCTGTATGCTACATGTCTTTGATTGGGAGTTACATAAGTGTCACACGACCTCACTACGCCAGTACATGCATGGTTATGACTAGTGAAATATCACGGAAACCGTGTCAGTATTACAGCTTCTGTTTATGGTTCTTATATACGTGGGGCGGTGGGGTGGCCTAGTGGTTAAAGCGTTGGCTCGTCACGCCGAAAACCCGGGTTCGAATCCCCACATGGGTAGTGTGTGTGAAGCCCATTTCTGGTGTCCCCCGCCGTGATGTTGCTGGAATATTGCTAAAAGCGGCGTAAAACCAAACTCAGTCAGTCAGTCTTATATACGTTGTATAACGGGGATTAAACGCCACCATGAACATCACACCATACCAGAATAACGTGCTTAGAAATCCAAAGCTTCAAACGTCGCGGTTATTCCTTGTTTACAAATCCCTTTCCAACAGTGGTGATACAAGGTTATAAGTGCTGAAAGTCTCCTGACAAATCGGGTGCGTATGTCACAAAATTATGCAAAGGGAAGAAACTCACTTTATCATGTGGTACAAGTCAGGTAACGGGTGGATCGGGTGGTCAGGCTCGCTGACTTGGTTGACACATGTCATCGGTTCCCAGTTGCGCAGATTGATGCTCATGCTGTTGATCACTGGATTGTATGGGCCAGACTCGATTATTTACATACCGCCGGCATATAACTGGAATATTGCTGAGTGCGGCGTAAAACTAAACTCACACACTCACTACAAGTCAGGTTAAGCGAGTGAGTGTTTGAGTTTAGTTTTACACCGCGTTTAACAATATTCCAGCAATATCACGGCTGGGGGACACCAGAAATGGGCTTCACACATTGTACCCATGTGGGGATTGGAACCCCGGGCCTTCGGCGTGACGAGCGGACGAGTCAAGTTAAAGATTGCATAGGAATTGCAAATTTGGAAAAGCATTCCACACGTCTACAATACTACCTTAGAAATATGAATATTGTAACCTCGATCAAATAAGAAACATGAATACTGTAACCTCGATCAAACAACTTGAACAAGAGTCTATGAAGCTTTTTGAAATCACGGAAAGAGAATGTTGGATTGTACCTGGAAATCTGTGAATGGGAAGTGGTTATTGGACCATTAATATTCTAGATTACACCCGAAGGCTAGAGCGTAAGTTATACATGTATTAAGACAAAGATCTAAGGTACACCAATGGAACAGCGTTGGTATGCATTGCCGAAATGGCTTATCCCCCGAATCAACACGGATGTTATCTCATACCGTTGGGTACCCTAGTGTTTGCTCGTCGCGTAGAAGACCTAGGTACGAGTTCCCACACATGGGTACAACGTGTGAAGCCCATTTCTAGCGTCTCCCGTCGTGATATTGCTGGAAATATTGCTAAAGGCGGCGTAAAACCACACTAGTTCCCTTGCTCTGCGTCCTTGACCAGGGGCCCCAAGTTTAGACGGTTGAACAGGTGAAAGCTTTTGTTTAGTGCTGTTTCCACCCGTGTGGTAGGATATACTTAGCTACCGTCACAGTTAATAGTCATTCATAAACACATCTCCAAAATATAGTCGGAATCTAATTTGAATTGCCGGAAGAGAGGGCATTTCTGTGTGTAGAAAGCTCGCTTTGAAATATTCTTTCCCCAATGCTTTTGTCACCAAGGCTGTCATTAACAGAGAAGAGTTTTTGTTTGTTGGTAAAGGGTATCTGTCAGTTAAAGGTGACATTTTTACCCTTTACCGTTTTGAGGGATACTGGTGCTCTTCCAACTCTGATTTTAATATAGTGATTATGATTAGTCACTTTCTGAGGAGTCAGCAGCTCACTCTGAGGTTTTGTACGTGGGTTCATGTTGTTTACCAGTGTGCATCTCATCTCCATTTTGTGAATTTGAACCTGACCTGACTTGTGTCTATGTTGGTTAAGGTGGGGGTAGTAGAAACTCTCCCTCTCGAAGGTATTCTTATTGGGAATGATTTAGCAGATCCGGTTGTTTGTCATGAGCACTTCGGAAAGTACAAACATCTTAAAAGAGAAACTCCAGGTATTCTTCCTTCATGTGTTATAAGTAACTTATTACTCGTGCTGAGGTGGACTCATTTCATCTGAAAATAATTCCAGTTATGATTTTTCGCTGGCACGTTATGGATCATTTTCGTGAATGATTGAGAATACTCAAATTCTTGGCAGGGAGCAGGTGGTTCATTTGCAGGGAGAAGACCCAGAACGTAAAGTCCTGCCAACAGGACACTCTCCCCAGAAGACGCTGACAAGGTTCCATTTTGCTGTTATTTCAGGGATAGTGTTTTGATAAGGAAATGGAGCCGCCAGATGTACCTGTTGATAATGAATGGAGAGTTTTTTATCAGATTGTTTTCTGTCGACAATATGTTACTAGTTTGGTACATGAAACTCCTTTGGCAGGTCATTTTGGCGTGAACGTAACTTGTGTCCAATTATATTTGGCCTTATTTGTGGCATGATGTGCCATGTATGTCAAATGCTTGGCCAACCTAATCAAAAATTCCCAACGGCACCTTTGAAACCAAGTCCCGCTATTGAAGCGCCTCTCTGCAATGTCAGCATTGATTGTGCTGGTCTTTAGCCTGAACCAGTACATGTTTGCCATCACGTATGTCCACCGGCTATTCCTTTAGGAAAATTACGGCTGGGGGCTTTGGTGAAGTTCTTTACAATTGATTTTTGCCGCAGACGCTTCAAACAGTTACAGACTCACGTTTCATGTCAGGTGTACTCCAGCAGGCTATGCGTCAGTTAGACATAACTCAGGTTAAGTCTAGTGCATATCACACTGAATCTCAGGGCGCTTCGGAAAGACTAAATCAGTTTCATAAGGACATACTACGGACTGAGAGGGACTATGATGAAGACATTCATTTGTTGTTGTTTGATATTTAAGGGAGTCTTTAAAACACTTGGTTTTCTTTTTGGTTTGTTTAACGCCAAACTCTGCAGACCTAGCGTGCCAAGTGTGTTTTGGGACTACATCTGGACTTTATCAATATGTCAGTGTTTCAAGTTTGGGTTCAAAAACGCTCAAGTCAACTTCCAGCTCCTCAGCAACGACATAACCGGCAATCACGAGGGAGTTGGCGCCTACATCGACGTTACCATCACTCATTGCATGGAATAGGAGGGACACCTGAACAGTTCCGTACTTTTTTTGAAGCCAAGCCAAGGCTGAAATTTGTGAATTTGCACAGGCACATGATTCACAGGCCATGGCATAGAGCAAGTAGAGCTACAGCAAAGGTGGAATCTATTTCATAATTCCCCCTTCTCCCAAACAAAGAGGATCTTACCAGAGTTGTAGGAATGGCTGGTTACTACCGTAAATGTCGTCAAACATTTTCACTTGTGGCAACCCTTCGCACTAATTTCTTGGTGAAAGAGTCAAATTAGTCTAAGACATCAGGTTGCTTTTGAGAAGATCGAAGCAATCCTCGTGAATTTTCTGTTCTCCATGTACCGAAGTGGAAACACCTTTGGAACCAGCAGTAGATGCTAGAGGCATTGACCTGTTGCAGGAAGATGCGTCAGGCTTTGTTATTTGACAAACTTCACAGAAATTATTCTGAATACACTGAATAATAAACACACAATGTCCTTTGAAAACAGCTTTGGACCTGCATGTCATTATGCTTTTAGAACATCTAAAACGTTGATTGAAACATTGGTGTATTTTCGCGAATCGTGTTGTGTTTCCCGTAACATGTTCGTGAATGGATTATGTATTTAATAAGTTACACCCATTCCTTCAAGCTTCATGGCTAGGTCTGTGAATCTCTTTCGTGGTAAGATATTTGTAAGCAATTTCGTTCGAGTTCCATTATTTGTTGTACAGGTTGTCGGTCTGCGTTCCCCCAGAGATGGACGCTGGCCATCATGGGTTTTGGGGCCATGTTTTGGGTGTCTGCCATGCGGGACCAGCTGGGCATTGCCATCGTCTGTATGGTTAAGGGAGAGGGCGTTCTGACATATCCTTGGCACAACACCACATCGTCTCCTTCCAATTCAACTGTCTCCCATGAAACGGAGGCTGTGTATAAAGAGGTAATATAATAATAATATAATAGCTTATTTGTGTGTGAGTGAGTGAGTTCACTCAGCAATATTCCAGCTATATGGCGGCGGTCTGTAAATAATGGAGTCTGGACCAGACAATCCAGTGATCAACAGCATGAGCATCAATCAGCGCAATTGGGAACCGATGACCACCCGATCCCGTTAATCGCCCCTTAATAATATTTACTAAAAATCGTAGCATGGTAATTTTCATTGTTGTCGTCGGATTCCTCGTTATCGTTGTGATACGCGGTGTATTAGGACAGCCTCCAGCAACTTATGCTGGTCACACGAGGCGACTTAACGCGACTTTGTTGACTGCATGCCAGCGAGATCCGGATCGTGCCGATAATACAAATCACTTCATTGCCCTTGCCAGAATCGTTAATGTCCAGACCTAGTTAACATAGATGACAGATCACTGATAAACAAACAGAGATCCCTCAGAAAACATGACTCTCCTTTGTCGGAATAGCATTATCTACTTTTTTTTAGCGAATATTTCTTATAAACCCGATCCGTTAGTCGCCTGTTACGACCAGTATGGGTTGCTGAAGATCAATTCCAACCCGTGTCTGAACAGGTAGAAGGCATTTTGATGTTTGTATTTAGATTATATTACCAGTGAAGCTGTTTTCCTACACTCCGCTTTGAACAGCATCACGACCTACCAGATGGACAGAAATCTCAAGTGTTAAAGGACGTAGGCGTCTAAGTTAGTGGTACAGACATATCACAATAACGATAACATCATAACTGGCAGGGCGGTGGAGAAGCCTAGTTATTTGAGCGTTTGATCGTCACGCCGAAGGCCCGGGTTCGATTCCCCACATGGTTACAATGTGTGAAGCCCATTTCCGGTGTCCCGAGCCGTGATATTGCTGAAATATTGCTAAAAGCGGCGTAAAACTATACTCACTCGGTCACTCCTCACTCATCAATGACCAGGATTCATTGGATAAGGGACGCAACTCTGAACATCGAGGGACGGGTAATCTCCCCTTGAACGTCTCGCCGCCACACACAAACACACTCGCATCCATGCACGCACACGCAAACACGCACGCACGCAAACACACACACTTACTCACTCACTCACCAGACGTCTTGTCATATATTGACATCGACGATGTTTACATTTCAGAGCGACGGCCTTCCCTGGAACAAGACGGAGCAGTCTCTCATTCTCGCCATGTTTTTCGCGGGGTTCTTCTCGAGCACGTTCCTGGGTATCTGGTACTTGAAGCACGACGTCATCAGGTACTATGTGGGCGGCGGCCTGATGCTCGCAGGCGTGGCGACCATCATCATCCCGTACTGCCTGACGCTGGAGCACCGCCTCATATACGCCCTGAGGCTCATCGCTGGCTTAGGCGGGGTAGGTAATCAGGACCTGTACTCAAATGTTTGTTTGTTGTTGAACGCCGCACCCAGCAATATTCCAGCTATATGGCGGTAAATACTTACCGTGAACCGATTTGGATATAAGACATGAATATGATGACGCTTCTTTGTTTCTAAATGACATATCCTCTACAGATCGAGGTATACCGTTGTCATGCTCAAGTTCATAGTAGTAGTAGTAGTTGTAGTAGTAGTAACAGTAGTAGTAGAAGTAGTAGTAGTAGCAGTAGTAGTAGTAGTAGTAGTTGTAGTAGTAGTAGTAGCAGTAGCAGTAGTAGTAGAAGTAGTTGCCCAAAAAAGTAGTAGTAATAGTATTTCTTCCAGTTGTAGAAGAAATAGAAGTAGTTGAACAAAAAGTAGTAGTAATAGTTCTTCTTCCAGCAGTAGTAGTGGCAAGTGTAGTTGTTGTTGTAGCAGAAGTTGTGATATTAGTTCCAGTAGTAGTAGTAGTAGTAGTAGTAGTAGGAGTAGTAGTAGGGAAGCCGACTAAATGATAGATTTTAAAGCAATATTAACGAACTAAGAGCTAACGGCTAATACTTCACTACAATGACGAGGAAGACGAAAACGAGGTAGTTGTCAGTTGTAGAAGTAGTAGTTGATTATGATGATGATGATGATGATGATGATGATGACGATGCGTCTTCCAGGCGATCTTGTTTCCAGGGATCCAGAGTATGTGGGCAAGTGGGCGCCCCGGAATGAACTGGCCACGCTGACCACCATCAGCGCCAGCGGTGAGTCGTCCTGGGCTTCATCACATACCAGAATGTTACACGTCAAGCCCACTAACAAACCTCACTCTGTTCGTTGCCAGTACAAACGATCATAGTTTCAAATCGCTGTTATTGGTTTGTATTACAAGGGGGTAAGCGCAATAGTTGGAACAGTGAAACAAATGCACGTGCGGTACGTGATGAGCGTTAACTTAGACTACCGTAGAAACCAACCCGTCTTGTTCTCGGGGTTTCATTTAATGTGCATACCCCCTTGTAATACAAACCAATAATGGCGATTTGAAACTATGATTGCTTGTTAAACACCTTTTATCCAAAGTTGAATAAAATTCTGAGGTTTAAATGTTCATGTGGCAAGGTAAAGTGAGGATTCGCAATCTTAATTTCACTTTATTTGATTTACTTTTTGGCTTAAAGTGAAATTCATCGGTACGTTTTCACTGCAAAAAGACTATAGTTTGGGACAGTATTTAAGGGAGAATTAACAAACCCAACTTTGTTACAGGTCGCTTTATTGGGACAGTTGCAGCCTTTTCCCTCACTGGAATCTTATGCAGCGCAATGTCGGACGGCTGGAAGCTCAGCTTTTACATATCAGGTATATGTATATAGGTGCAGGTCTACTTTGTCTCTGAATTCTCGAAAATATGTTTCACAGGAAATCTCATCTGTTGTCCCTTGAGATCACCTGTTGTCCCTTGAGATCACCTGTTGTCCCCTGTCGTCCCTTGAGATCACCTGTTGTCCCCTGTCGTCCCTTGAGATCACCTGTTGTCCCCTGTTGTCCCTTGAGATCACCTGTTGTCCCCTGTCGTCCCTTGAGATGATCTGTTGTCTCTTGAGATCACCTGTTGTCCCTTGAGATCACTTGTTGTCCCTTGAGCTGTCGTCCCTTGAGATCACCCGTTGTCCCCTGTTGTCCCTTGAGATCACCTGTTGTCCCCTGTCGTCCCTTGAGATGATCTGTTGTCTCTTGAGATCACCTGTTGTCCCTTGAGATCACTTGTTGTCCCTTGAGATGATCTGTTGTCCCTTGAGATCACCTGTTGTCCCCTGTCGTCCCTTGAGATCACCTGTTGTCCCCTGTTGTCCCTTGAGATGATCTGTTGTCCCTTGAGATCACCTGTTGTCCCCTGTCGTCCCTTGAGATCACTTGTTGTCCCCTGTTGTCCCTTGAGATGATCTGTTGTCCCTTGAGATCACCTGTTGTCCCCTGTTGTCCCTTGAGATCACCTGTTGTCCCTTGAGATGATATGTTGTCCCTTGAGATCACCTGTTGTCCCCTGTTGTCCCTTGAGATCACCTGTTGTCCCTGGAGATCACTTGTTGTCCCTTGAGATCACCTGTTGTCCCTTGAGATCACTTGTTGTCCCCTGTTGTCCCTTGAGATCACCTGTTGTCCCTTGAGATCACTTGTTGTCCCTTGAGATCACCTGTTGTCCCTTGAGATCACTTGTTGTCCCCTGTTGTCCCTTGAGATCACCTGTTGTCCCCTGTTGTCCCTTGAGATCACCTGTTGTCCCCTGTTGTCCCTTGAGATCACCTGTTGTCCCCTGTTGTCTCTTGAGATCACCTGTTGTCCCTTGAGATCACTTGTTGTCCCTTGAGATGATCTGTTGTCCCTTGAGATGACCTGTTGTCCCTTGAGATGACCTGTTGTCCCTTGAGATCACCTGTTGTCCCTTGAGATCACTTGTTGTCCCTTGAGATGATCTGTTGTCCCTTGAGATCACCTGTTGTCCCCTGTCGTCCCTTGAGATGATCTGTTGTCTCTTGAGATCACCTGTTGTCCCTTGAGATGATCTGTTGTCCCTTGAGATGATCTGTTGTCCCTTGAGATCACCTGTTGTCCCTTGAGATCATCTGTTGTCCCTTGAGATCACCTGTTGTCCCTTGAGATCACTTGTTGCCCCTTGAGATCACCTGTTGTCCCTTGAGATCACCTGTTGTCCCTTGAGATCACCTGTTGTCCCTTGAGATCTTCACCTGTTGTCCCTTGAGATCACCTGTTGTCCCTTGAGACCTTGAGATCACCTGTTGTCCCTTGAGATCACTTGTTGCCCCTTGAGATCACCTGTTGTCCCTTGAGATCACCTGTTGTCCCTTGAGATCACCTGTTGTCCCTTGAGATCTTCACCTGTTGTCCCTTGAGATCACCTGTTGTCCCTTGAGACCTTGAGATCACCTGTTGTCCCTTGAGATCACTTGTTGTCCCTTGAGATCATCTGTTGTCCCTTGAGATCACCTGTTGTCCCTTGAGATCACCTGTAGTCCCTTGAGATCACTTGTATCAACACGAGTAGATAAAGTTGTCGAGTGTGAGATTCTATTGATCATTCAGAATCATCTTGCAAGTTTATCTATAAAACTTTGTTGATGTTCTTCATGTGAACACTTGTGAACAGAACGCTGAAATGCACAAACTATCAACTCGATCTTTGTACCTACAGCAGATTTACTGCAGAATCGTTTTGTCGCAACTTCTTCAACTGTTTGGCTATATATGATAGACCACTTGATCAGTGATGACATTTGAATCCGCCACGGGTTCATTAACGACTTTGGAAATGATTTCGTGCCGTCGACGATGACGTCGGACATTTGACAACTGGGGTATGGGTGGGACTAAAAACACCGCTTGACACTCTTCTGACAACACGAGTCTTAGTAGCGTACAATGTAAGGGTGTTTTTCTGGCAGCACATCTATGTGTCCAACAGACTATCAGGGGAAGGCGGCGACGTGAGGCTGACCCATGGGCAGGAGATGGCTGGATTGGCTGGACAGTGTTCGCCCCTCTTTGTCCCTGGCTTGTCCCTGGCTTGTCCCATGCGGGTCTGAACACGCTCTTCCCGCTGTCTGCCGACTCCATCTCTGCTTGCCTATCCTGTCTGCTTTTAAAATAACAATCTGCTTATGTCGGCCGTTCTTATGGACATTAGCTGGTCATATTTCTGACAAATGTACACAAAATAATATGTCAACTTTCACTTAGCGGTAACACGTCAGCCTAATGCATAGAGACTGGGCATCCTTAGTTCATGTAATTTGATTGTACAGGTGCGGGAGGCCTCATCTGGTTCGTTCTGTGGCAGTTGTTTACCGCCAACAACCCCGCCAGCGACCCCCGTATCTCCCGTCGGGAGCGCGAATACATCGTGGCCAACATCGACGTCTCATACGAAGAGGTTTGTTTTTTGACAGGTCGTATTACAACCGGATCCTGGTCTACGCTGACTCTGTGCTTATGTTCAGAACGTTCAACAATCTACATATACGATAACTAAGGTCATGTGACAACTTTTAATAGTACGAGCTATGTCATTGTGAGTTCTCTCCCTTGCCAGTGTTACTTTGAACTTGTCGCCCTTCTGAATATTTTACAGCTTCCGTTATCAGGATTTACGTACAAGTTTTCATGTTTTGAAGCGATCTTAAGTTTTGTTAATATTGAAAACTAAACCATTAAGTTTTCTCTTTCAATATAAATATACGTCTAAGACAAGCATATCCACTGAAATTGGTTCATGTGGGCACGGCAGGCAAACTAATGGTGACACTTCCGTGCCTGGATCACTGATCATCCGTGATGACACCGGGTGTTCGCGAACACAAGCCATTATCCATTATGCGTGATTGACGAGGCTTGTGTTTCAGAATGTTGCAATCCCTTGGCGAGCAATCCTGACGTCCAAGCCGGTGATTGGTTGTCTGGTGATCCACATGGTTTCCGATTGGGTGGACTACAGTTTAACCACAAGTGGCCCCACCTACATGCATGAAGTCCTGCATCTCAACATATATGAGGTAACTGGTCACGTGGGAGGTTCCGATTGTGGTTTGGTACAGTATGAGAACTTAAGAGTGTGCTGATAAAGAGGGTTCCACGATAAGACGAAATTTGCATGGTGCATGGTACATGGTACATGGTACATGGTACATTCGGATTAGAAGTGTTACGGAAGGATGTATACGACATAGTAAGTAAGAAGTGATGTGCACGTGGTGGTGTAGGCATGGGCGGATCCAGGAATTTTGAAAGGGGGGAGGGTGTTCGAACCCCTGAACCCCCCACTGGCTCCGCCAACGCAAAAAAAATCTTCAATGTGGTCTTAAGTTATTTTCAAAGGGGTGTGTGTGTGTGTGTGTGTGTGTGTGTGTGTGTGTGTGTGTGTGTGTGTGTGTGTGTGTGTGTGTGTGTGTGTGTGTGTGTGTGTGTGTGTGTGTGTGTGTGTGTGTGTGTGTGTTGACACACACACCCTCTGGTTCCGCCAATGGGTGTAGGGTATGGTAAGATATGGTGTGTTAAAGGAAAGTATTGTGGGGTGAGAAGTGGGACAATGTGTGGCGCTGTCTACAATGTATTATAGAGACATATATTGACCACTCCAGCACTCCCAGGTGGACGTAGAACGTGGTTATTGTTGAAGGGCTTGTTGTGCAGAATGGGTTGCTGTCGTCCGTCCCACACCTCGCGAGGGGAATGGCCACGGTCCTGGTTGGTTTGCTGGCGGACTTGCTGGTCAAGCGGAAAATCCTCTCTGTATACTGGACTCGGGTCATCTTCCAGACGCTGTGTAAGTACATTCTGCAGGGACGCCTGTACCTTTCCATGTTCGAGTCAGTGGACACCTAGTGCGGATACGCTGACATGGTCGATGTTTGTCAGTTTGATTCTTAGTGTCACTGGATTGTCTGGTCCAGATTACCGCCGTCATATAGCTGGAATCTTGCTGAGTTCGGCATTAAATAATAAACAAACAACTTCAGGGTGTCCCAGGCACCCTTATCACATGTGTCACTCTTCCCTTGATTGTCGAAGATGTTCCAAATGTCTTATTTCTGCATACATGTTCGCAAAGCGTTGTGTGCGAGGTGGTGTGTCAGCGACATATTGGAAAACAACAAACACTGACATTCATGACTGAACGTGTATTTCTTAGTGAAATAAAAATGTCAGTAATGAAGATTATGAAGTGTATACGTCTAATGTCTGTTAATGATCCAAATTTCCATAAAGTTGATGCACTTCCAGAACTCGCAAAGTTCATTATTTGCGCCCGTTATCATTTGTGTGTGTGTGTGTGTGTGTGTGTGTGTGTGTGTGTGTGTGTGTGTGTGTGAGAGAAATATTCTCACAATGTTGATCACTATCAAATATGATTTTATATATATATCAAATAAGAACCAACTTAGGGACACTCTGGAAATATAAGTCGCCATGTAGCTGGAATATTGCTGAGTGCAGCGTAAAACTAAACTCACTCACTCACTGGAAATATAAACAATAAATTCCTCTGTTTCATTATGCTTGTTTCCTCACAGCTAATGTTGGTTCGGCCGTGTTCCTGGTGTGTCTGGGTTTCGTGTCGGCCGACCAGCGTGCCCTCGCCGTCTTCTTCTTCACTGCAGTCATGTGCATGCAGGCTTTCGCCGAGTCCGCCTATCAAATCAATGAAGTTGAAATAGCGCCAAAGTAAGTGGGCACTTAACTATGCATTTTGACAAGCCTGAAAACGACCCAGAGTTGCCTTTCCCACCGACCAAAATGCTTCCGTCATTTATAAATGAACAGTATTTGAAATTGGTAGGCCTTGATCTGAAATTGAGACAAGCCATGTTCGTTGACTGTTCCAGTCGAGGGTGATATTTTGGAGAAATCTGCTTGGCTTTGCATGATAGTGAGTGAGTGAGTGTCTATTCATGATAGTGAGTGAGTTAATTTAGTTTTACGCCGCTTTTAGCAATATTTCAGCAATATCACGGCAGGGAACACCAGAAACTGGCTTCATCCATAGTACCCATGTGGGGATTCGAACGCTTTAGCCACTAGGCTACCCTACCGCCCCTATTTACGAGAGACGGAGTTGGGGTGTGTGAGACCCGACTCAAGGTCGTAATGGACCTAAGATGAGCGGATCCCACGCAATTCGTCAAATCCATGGCAGCTAGCGTAGTTGTAAAATGGCACGGATTGTCAGACTGGGTTACTTGTCCCAAGTCCGCGTCTGCGGATAATCAAGGGATTAATCATCGGATTATCTGGTCTACATTCGATTTGTTACTGACTGCCGTCGTATAGCTAGAACATTGCTGATTGAGACGGTCAACACAAACCGTAACGAAATCAAGATAATTTGGTGAATAACAGTGATTGGGTGGGTATAGTTTTACTCCTCATTTAGAAGTATTCCAGCAATAATAAGGCGGGGTAACCAGAAATGGGCTTCATACATTATACCCATACGAGGAATCGTACGCAGGTATTCGGCGTGACGAGCGAACGCTTTGACCACTAGGTTACCCTACCGCCCCTCGTTGAAAGCAGAAGAGTATGGTACAATTGATTTGTGTTTTGTGTTTGTAGATTCGCGGGGACCATCACCAGTATGGGAAACAGTCTCAGCGGAGTGGCGGGAGTGCTGGCGCCCATCATCACGGGTGCCATGACGCCAAATGTTGGTAGCTTAAGTCATACAATGTTTATATTTGGTTGGGAATCCTGGGAATGGTACCCAGCATGCATGTATGAAACGTTTAAGTAGGGGCATGTTATCTGGTCTGGTTTACAAAGCTATTTACATACAGACCCGTGAAGATCCGGGTTAGAAATTTAATTGATCTAGTACATGTTTGTCGTAAGGGTGACATACGGGATCCGTTGGTCAGGCTCCCTGACTTGATTGACATGTCATCGTATCCCAATTTCGTAGATCGATACTCATGCTGTTGATCACTGTATTTTCTAGTCCAGACTCGATTATTTACAGACCGCCGTCATATAGCTGGAATATTGCTGAGTGCGGCGTTAAACAACAAACACACACATAATAAATTTAGATTTTATTTTGCACGATTGCAGAAAACCCAGGAGGAATGGAGGAACAGCTTCATGGTGATCGTGGGTCTTTGTGCGGTCAGTCTCGTCGTGTACCTGGCCTTCCTGAGGGTGACGGTCCAGCCCTGGGCCAAAGAAACAAAGAAGAAACCCACCGTTGCCCACGTTGTCAACTTCGGTACAGAGGCAGACGACTCGAAACAAGGACAATAGCCCTTGGTCAACTCTTGTCTTGTCACAGTCTAGTTCAATGGGTTTGCTTAAGAACGAACAAGGTTCTCTGGGTATGCTGCAGTGTTCCTTCAAAGCTGGCGTTACACAAGGTCAGTGAAGCGCCAGCGCAGCATACCCAGAGAACCGGTCTGGTCTTGGCATCCCTTGTTCACTGCACACACATGGCGTTCGTGCTTCATTACTTTACCATGTCGTCACCGTCACGGAGTTATACACTTTAATGATTTATGAATTAATACATGTCTTGTAGTTTTAATTTGTATCTATTTCACATATCTCTTGAAATTTCTGCTGAATGCTTTCAAATGATTCGTCAGCGCCTTTTCAAACGCCATGTTATTATCATAAATATCATTATGATGGGGGTGGGGTGGGGGGTTTCACAAAATTGTTTCACTAAATTTTTTCGACAGCCAAAAGAGGAGAAACTGGAAATGACAAATTTAACAAAATTGTTGATCTGAAGTGTGAAACGAAACGGCTTTTCTTATCCTTGAATCACTGCCTGCTTTAAGTCTCGCCTGTGTGTAAATATGTAATATAGTTTAAATACGTTATGACTGGCTAGTAACCGTTCTGCACAGTTATTTCTCAAGTTCACCGTACAAGCTATTGAAACAGACAATTGCATGTATCCACACTATGTTGTCACGAAAATATTATATATGTTAGAAACGTCTTTAGATCTCACACTTTTAGATTTATGAAATCCAACACAAGACACACGTCATAGTTGTGCTTGCTCATGTGAGTATTTCTCAGAGCATCTGTTACAACCGCAGTGTTATACACAAGAGGAGGTGTACCTTTCAGTATTACTTTAAAACTGCCTTGTCTTTGCATGTGTTTATGACAAGTGCCGGTTTGTGAGATAACACCTGTTATCATCACCGTTCCATAAAGATTAATAATACTTAGGATATAGTCGGGACCGTACAATAGACTCAAGGTTTAACAGACTTTCTGTGATTATTGATACATTATTACACTATATTTATGTTGTAATGAATCCGTTGGATTAAATGCTACTTGAAGGTATTTTCTCATTGTGGTAAGGGTTTTGTCGATATTATGTTGTTGTCCACTGTTTCAATAAAGAAATCTTTCCCAATACTGCCTGAGTTTCAAGTCTATCCGTGTATGATGGATCCACGAAGGTCTTACAATGGTCAAGATAATCTGGAAAACAAGACACCTCTTTTCCAATGATTGAACATTTTATGTCGCCCATTTTGTATGTTATATGTTATATTTAATCGGAACAACTGTTGATGGTGACATGCTTCAAATAACCACATGAACGTGTAATACTGTTAAACCACATAATCCGTGATATTTAGACACCCTTGGCAGTGCTTCTTTAAATCGAATAATAAAAATGTAATAAATTGTCTGCATTGGTAATAAAAAGCATGGGGAAAAATACAAGGTGTCCTTTGTCCAATTATTTTAAATACATATCTCCCTCGTATATCCATTTAAATGCAAACCGGAAACAAATGTTAGCGGCGATATGAACATAACCGAATGAACATGCAACACGCTTAATCCATGATATAGAGTGAACATTAAGCTACGATTGGGAACCCAGTCTCATAACGACCGTAAAGAAGACACTGTTTGGGGAGAAATTAAAACAGACAGGCATTCAGTTGTTAAATATTTATGGAATATTTACAGTTTGAAGTAAAGTTTTATCATTTCTGCCGCAGAGAGGCGTAACTTGAACCGTAATGGTGAATGCCCTCTAAAAACGCTGGAAAGTCGGATCGATCATATTGTAATAAATACATTGGAAGATGTATTACTACAGCTTACGATAAATAACTAGTCGCTTGAACTTTTGAGACATGGTTCGTAGTGCATGACTAGTCTCTTGAATCTATGAGACAAGTTAAGTGATCAATGACTGGTCCCTTGAACCAGACACCATATACCGGTGTATGGTCTATGCTTGAACCTATCAGACACGTTTCGTGATCAATGACTGGTCCCTTGAACCAGAGACCATATACCGGTGTATGATCTATGCTTGAACCTATCAGACACGTTTCGTGATCAATAACTGGTCCCTTGAACAAGAGACCATATACCGGTGTATGGTCTATGCTTGAACCTATCAGACACGTTTCGTGATCAATGACTGGTCCCTTGAACCAGAGACCATATACCGGTGTATGATCTATGCTTGAACCTATCAGACACGTTTCGTGATTAATGACTGGTCCCTTGAACAAGAGACCATATACCGGTGTATGGTCTATGCTTGAACCTATCAGACACGTTTCGTGATCAATGACTGGTCCCTTGAACCAGAGACCATATACCGGTGTATGGTCTATGCTTGAACCTATCAGACACGTTTCGTGATTAATGACTGGTCCCTGGAACCAGAGTCCATATACCGGTGTATGGTCTATGCTTGAACCTATCAGACACGTTTCGTGATCAATGACTGGTCCCTTGAACCAGAGACCATATACCGGTGTATGGTCTATGCTTGAACCTATCAGACACGTTTCGTGATTAATGACTGGTCCCTGGAACCAGAGTCCATATACCGGTGTATGGTCTATGCTTGAACCTATCAGACACGTTTCGTGATTAATGACTGGTCCCTTGAACTAGAGACCATATACCGGTGTATGGTCTATGCTTGAACCTACCAGACACGTTTCGTGATCAATGACTGGTCCCTGGAACCAGAGTCCATATACCGGTGTATGGTCTATGCTTGAACCTACCAGACACGTTTCGTGATCAATGACTGGTCCCTTGAACCAGAGTCCATATACCGGTGTATGGTCTATGCTTGACCCTATCAGACACGTTTCGTGATTAATCATTGGTCACATTTCTTGACTGGTCCCTTGACCCTTTGAACCCTGTTTCACTATGAATGACATTCCCCTTGAATCTACGAGACGCGGTTATTGATGAAGGACTGGTCCCTTGACCCTTTGAACCCTGTTTCACTATGAATGACATTCACCTTGATCTATGAGACGCGGTTATTGATGAAGGAATAACAGCTGGTGCTATGAAATATGTTCAGTGTCAATTGACTGGTCCCGAAGTCCGCCGCTTTCCTCAGACATTCATTTATAAGTAGCTGGGCAGGAATCAGACTATGGCGCCTATAGTTCCACTTCCACGGGATAGTGGTCGCTGACCCTGCTGGTCTGAAATGTGAAGCCAAGAAACTACTTTGTGTTTAGTTATTCCAAAAACCATGCTTTAACTAAAATGTACATATAACTAAGTTAAAAACGTGGAATTTGATAAACGCTTTAAAGCATTCTGAAGGAAAAGTGTTCCTCACATCGGCCTGTGGATTTAGAGGTTTGTTTGTTTATTGTCTAACGCCGCACTCAGCAATATTCCAGCTATATGGCGGCGGTCTGTAAATACTCGAGTCTGGACCAGACAATCCAGTGATCAACATCATGAGCATCGATATACGCAATTGGGATACGATGACATGTGTCAACCAAGTCCGCGAGCCTGACCACCCGATCCCGTTGCCGCCTCTTACGGCTAGCACGGGTTGCTGAAGACCATTAATATCCCGGGTCTTCACTAGTCTTTATTTAGAGAAAATTCATTTAAAATTACAACGGACGTGCAAAGGTCACATAACTGAGCAACTTCAAACAGGGAAAATATAAAAATGGATAACCAAATATCTTCGTATATTACTTACTAATGTCGGATCGAGGCCCAGCTCCAGGTCATACGGGTAGACTCTTGAAGACTGCACGGCACTGATGAGGTCATTTCCCGTGGCGACGATCCTGTAGACAGATGGTGGTTCAGTAACGAATACTAGAAACCATGACCCTAATGCATACACAGTACCATGCCAAAAGTGTTGCAAGAAAAATGGCTGCCACTGTATTTGAGCTGAGATGGCCGTTAGGTATTTGGATAAAATACATCCAAAGATATAGTTTGGTATAGGATCATATTTTAGGGGTTACTTTTTTACCTAGCACCTACAGGAAGTAGGTGGAGCAGACGACATCCTACAATGGAGATGAAATCATGGCGGCTGTCAGAAGAGAATTGACTCCCAGGTTGAAACAAAGGTTAATAGTTTTGAAACAGACTGGAGAAAAAAAATTACAACATTGCTAAGATTTTGGGGATACATGAATCTACTGTCTGTAGAGTCTGGAAGACATTTTCTGCCTGCGGGTCGTTAGAAAACAAGGCTAGAAGTGGGAGGCCCAAATTGTCTGACCAGAGAAGTGATCGTCGACTTTGTCGTACGGTGCAATGTAATCGTAGGCGGTCTTTGACAGATTTGACTCATGAATTCAATAATGTACACAATCAAGTATTATCTAAAAGACCTGGGTGCCGTTCCACTAACCGATCTTAGCCCTATGCCAATCGTAAACCCCTAAAATCCCAATCTTAGCGTGACGTTACGATCGGCATACCGTTCCACTAACCAATCTTACCTAAGTCAATCGTAAAGTTAAGATTCAAAGTCTAAGTTGCTCATGAACAACTTAGGATAGCTAAAATCAATCGTAGAGAAACCAAAATGGTGACTTTCCTTTTTCTTTGTGAAAAATAAGAGCGAGCATTTCACCGTAAGCGTCCCCTAAAGTCCCCCATGAAATGAATTTGTATATTTCTGTGATGTAAACAAACACTGCACTGAAGCCTTACAAATGTCAGGCCAGTCTGACCACTGTCGTCATGGGAACACAACCGAGCGAGTCGGTGTAACACATTTATTTGTACAACAATATTGCAACGTCATGGTTAAGAATAGGGACAGCCGTGAAGTGAACAATGTTCTGAAGCAAAAAGATACAAATATGTTTGATTTCACTGCGCATATTTGGTGTGGGATTCTAAAGACAGGCCGCGTGTTATTCAAGACCACTGACAGATTCTACATACGTTATATATAGCCTCGTCACGTCTTTGTGTATTCTGATTGACAAGGTTCAGGCACATAGTAAAAGCTCTGACACAATTGACATTTTTAAAGTCCAGACTTAAAACCTGTTCTCAGTATATTACTTATAATCTCGGCTGTAAATATTCTCGTGTAAATTATCTGTACACAGCGCTTTGAGCATGCCCAAGGATGTGGAATAGGCGCACTATAAATATGCATTTATTATTATTATATTATACTTGATACCCAGCGTTCTCACGCACTTGCACCTGAAACCAAGGTGCTCACTACCCTAATATTTTGCTCTAGGTTTTTTTCTCCACGTTTACACTTGGTTGGAAAAATACCCATGAAGGCCCGGGTTAGAATATTGAACTTCAATAACCCATGCCTGTCGTAAGAGGCCACTAACGGGATCGGGTGGGACCCAGAGGGGTTATATCACCAAATACTAGTCAAAACAAGGTAAGAAAAACATTATTTTAAAGTCGTATTCATTGCTTGAAAATTTCAGGTGAGAACTTCTACTTAAAGCGGCGGCCATTTTTCTTACAAACACTTTTGGCACGGTGCTGTAGTTCATGTTCCACTTTTATTGAGAAGAAGTTGTGCGAAAGCAGTGTGAAAAACACCCAACATGCAAAGATTAGTTCGCACCACTCGCCCTTTCATTCGTCATCACTCGCCCCTTTCCGTAACTTCCAAGAAGGGCTTGTCCCGGAATAACACGAGTTGGCCACGAATGGAACAAATCGCAGGGCGGAATATGTGTTCAACTACGAGAACAAATTGCGTCAGAGTGTCTTATAATCAATAATTTTGCCTGTTTGACAAACCACATCGACTTAATAACTATTTCACTAATCACTAACATGCCATTCGCTAATACACATGAAACATCGTCCCAGAATTCAACTCTGAGGAAATATTTTCAAGATATTTATAACACATATTTGCGAATGATGAAATGATGTTGGTAATACAAGAGGGACGAGCCTTTCTGTTACCCGGGTAAAGACGGAACCACATACGAACATTGATACAGCAAATGAAAGATTGACAAGTAAATACAACGACCAATAAAGAATGTTTGTATTAACCCATCCTATAAAACACCAATTTCAAAGATGTTTTGTTTGGAATGGCCACATGCAAGGCTGTGGTAGTGTTTACCAGGAAATTATGTTGATATTAGTTGAAAGACAAAGCGTTCTGATGTGTCCGGTCCGTGCAGAGATGATTAATACTAAACAGAGGCTGACACGGTCACAGTTGGTAGTACATCTGGGCCTGTATAACCCAGACACGTGCTACGTGTAATGTTGTACATTTCCAGTCCTGCTCCATGACTGTGGAATATTTACATATACTGCTCAAAGTGTGCTAAGGATCGGAGTTTGATGAAAAAGAATCATGCAACATATAAGGAAAGAAATATCCCGGTACCGCGATTGGGCAACCCAACATGGTCTCACCTTCATGATGAACGACAGATGCATGCAGCCATGGGAATAACTTTCGTACTTGTCGTACTTGTGGTACCTGTCACACTTGTCACAACACTCATTACTGTCTTTACCTGTCCTAACGCCATATTTGTCGAACCTTTCGTACCTGTCGTTTTTGTTGTACCTGTCGTATTTGTTGTACCTTTCCCACCTGTCGTAATTGTTGTAGCTTTCGTACCTGTCATAACAGTACCTGTCGTATTTATTGTACCTTTCCCACCTGGCGTAATTGTTGTAGCTTTCGCACCTGTCATAACACTCGTGCCTGTCGTATTTATTGTACCTTTCCCACCTGTCGTATTTGTTGTAGCTTTCGCACCTGTCATAACACACGTATCTGTCGTATTTGTTGTACCTTTCCCACATGTCGTAATTGTTGTAGCTTTCGCACCTGTCATAACACACGTATCTGTCGTATTTGTTGTACCTTTCCCACCTGTCGTTATTGTTGTAGCTTTCGTAGTCATAACACTCGTACCTGTCGTATTTGTTGTACCTTTCCCACCTGTCGTATTTGTTGTAGCTTTCGTAGTCATAACACTCGTACCTGTCGTATTTGTTGTACCTTTCCCACATGTCGTAATTGTTGTAGCTTTCGCACCTGTCATAACACACGTATCTGTCGTATTTGTTGTACCTTTCCCACATGTCGTAATTGACACCCAACATGCAAAGATTAGTTCGCACCACTCGCCCTTTCATTCGTCATCACTCGCCCCTTTCCGTAACTTCCAAGAAGGGCTTGTCCCGGAATAACACGAGTTGGCCACGAATGGAACAAATCGCAGGGCGGAATATGTGTTCAACTACGAGAACAAATTGCGTCAGAGTGTCTTATAATCAATAATTTTGCCTGTTTGACAAACCACATCGACTTAATAACTATTTCACTAATCACTAACATGCCATTCGCTAATACACATGAAACATCGTCCCAGAATTCAACTCTGAGGAAATATTTTCAAGATATTTATAACACATATTTGCGAATGATGAAATGATGTTGGTAATACAAGAGGGACGAGCCTTTCTGTTACCCGGGTAAAGACGGGAACCACATACGAACATTGATACAGCAAATGAAAGATTGACAAGTAAATACAACGACCAATAAAGAATGTTTGTATTAACCCATCCTATAAAACACCAATTTCAAAGATGTTTTGTTTGGAATGGCCACATGCAAGGCTGTGGTAGTGTTTACCAGGAAATTATGTTGATATTAGTTGAAAGACAAAGCGTTCTGATGTGTCCGGTCCGTGCAGAGATGATTAATACTAAACAGAGGCTGACACGGTCACAGTTGGTAGTACATCTGGGCCTGTATAACCCAGACACGTGCTACGTGTAATGTTGTACATTTCCAGTCCTGCTCCATGACTGTGGAATATTTACATATACTGCTCAAAGTGTGCTAAGGATCGGAGTTTGATGAAAAAGAATCATGCAACATATAAGGAAAGAAATATCCCGGTACCGCGATTGGGCAACCCAACATGGTCTCACCTTCATGATGAACGACAGATGCATGCAGCCATGGGAATAACTTTCGTACTTGTCGTACTTGTGGTACCTGTCACACTTGTCACAACACTCATTACTGTCTTTACCTGTCCTAACGCCATATTTGTCGAACCTTTTTTGTTGTACCTGTCGTATTTGTTGTACCCCACCTGTCGTAATTGTTGTAGCTTTCGTACCTGTCATAACAGTCATAACAGTACCTGTCGTATTTATTGTACCTTTCCCACCTGGCGTAATTGTTGTAGCTTTCGCACCTGTCATAACACACTCGTGCCTGTCGTATTTATTGTACCTTTCCCACCTGTCGTATTTGTTGTAGCTTTCGCACCTGTCATAACACACGTATCTGTCGTATTTGTTGTACCTTTCCCACATGTCGTAATTGTTGTAGCTTTCGCACCTGTCATAACACACGTATCTGTCGTATTTGTTGTTGTACCTTTCCCACCTGTCGTTATTGTTGTTTCCCACCTGTCGTATTTGTTGTAGCTTTCGTAGTCATAACACTCGTACCTGTCGTATTTGTTGTACCTTTCCCACATGTCGTAATTGTTGTAGCTTTCGCAGTCATAACACTCGTGCCTGTCGTATTTGTTGTACCTTTCCCACCTGTCGTAATTGTTGTAGCTTGTCGCACCTGTCATAACACACGTATCTGTCGTATTTGTTGTACCTTTCCACATGTCGTAATTGTTGTAGCTTTCGCAGTCATAACACACGTATCCTGTCGTATTTGTTGTACCTTTCCAACCTGTCGTATTTGTTGTAGCTTTCGTAGTCATAACACTCGTACCTGTCGTATTTGTTGTACCTTTCCCACATGTCGTAATTGTTGTAGCTTTCGCACCTGTCATATAACACACGTATCTGTCGTATTTGTTGCACCTTCATAACCACATGTCGTAATTGTTGTAGCTTTATTTGCACCTGTCATAACACACGTATCTGTCGTATTTGTTGTACCTTTCCCACCTGTCGTAATTGTTGTAGCTTTCGCAGTCATAACACTCGTACCTGTCGTATTTGTTGTACCTTTCCCACCTGTCGTATTTGTTGTAGCTTTCGTAGTCATAACACTCGTACCTGTCGTATTTGTTGTACCTTTCCCACATGTCGTAATTGTTGTAGCTTTCGTAGTCATAACACTCGTACCTGTTGCATTTGTCGTACCTGTCACACACGTCATACCTGTTTTACCTGTCATACGTGTCATACCTGTCATAGGCACAGTTGGACCTCCCGGTTGTGGTGTCTGCGTCTGAGCCAATCAGTGAGAAGTACCCCGGATGTTGGAACATCCCTGTAACCATCTGGTGTGACACAGGGAGGTATCTGCAATCGGCGTTCATGTCCCCCAGGTACAGCAAGTTCTGTGGAATATAGTACCGATAAGTATCCTGTGCCGTGGGCTGTGTGACCATATGACAGATGTGATGTGTCCCCTTGATATTATTTGTCTTCGTTTTATCGTAAAATGGCGGCGGTCTGTAAATAATCGAGTCCGGACCAGACAATCCAGTGATCACAACATAAGCATCGGTCTACGCAGTTGGGATATGAATTTGAGTTATGAACTCTGGACAGTGTTCCTTGTAATAAGACACACCATGGCTGAAATATTGCCAATATGACGCTAAATGACGCCACTTTCTCACTATCAAGATAGCTGACCTGCGTGTTCCATGTGAGCTTGACCTCTGCCTCGACCTGGTGAAAGAGGTGTTGTAGTTCCTCAACAGCGTTTGTGGGTTTCGCGTGCAGGCCAATCAGAGCCAGCCGCCATGGCCCCGCTGAAACACCAGCATTCCGTGAGTGTATTTTTCTTGTTAAGCTTTACAACATAAATTATATTTGAAACGCACATTTTCACACATCCACTCGCATGTTCAGTAATCATTACGTTCTAACTGACTCCCAAGCTCACTAAACTTCACATTCTCACTAAACTTCATATTCGCACTAAACTTCACATTCTCACTAAAGTTCACATTCGCACTAAAGTTCACATTCTACTAAACTTCCCAGCCGCACTCAACTTCACATTCGCACTAAGCTTCATATTCGCACTAAACTTCACATTCGCACTAACTTCACATTCTCACTAAACTTCATATTTCAACTAGGCTTCATATTCGCACTAAACTTCACATTCCCACTAAACTTCATATTCGCACTAAACTTCACATTAGCTATAAACTTCACATTCTCACTAAACTTCACATTTTCACTACACTTCATATTGGCACACACTCCAATTCTCACATTCCCACTCACTTTAAGATATGTAAGCTCACACACAGTCTATTCCTAACACTACTACATTTGGACTGGGTCTAACAGCATGTGGCCCCTTCAGCGATACATCCTTATTCATATATACATTAGCTCTGCAGCGATGTCAACTACCTCTGACACCACTCACAGCCAACAGGATATCTAGACTTGCTTCATTTAGGGCTTTAACATTGGCGAAAGGCGGAAGGGAAAATAAAGCGGTTCAGGGACTGTGAGACAGTGTACACTAACCCTGGCCGGGGATGTTGAGTAGTAAACAGAACGGCTCTCTCTCGAACACGTCTCCTCCGCTCTCCGTGAAGAGGTGGCTGGCAACAACGTTGACCCTGTCTGACCTGATGACCACAAACACCGAATTACTTTTCCAAATTAAACACACAATTCATGAGTGCCTTATGTATCATTAGTAAAGTACAAAGATAGGCATATTCTTCATTTCCATTCTTTGTGTTCCTTATTCTGGAATTCTGCTACCATTTTAGGTCCAAAAGCTCATTAGATACGAGGATAACATATCTCAGTTGTTGAAGAACACAAACCTGTAGAAAAAAGCGTACTGTTCTTTATATCTCGTCCTCCCAAGCCTTGGGCTGATCTTGTAGGAAAAACACGCGGACCTGGTAGGAAACAACCACACACAACCAATCAGGTAACGGGGAGAAAGGTTTCGACCAACCAACTCCTAATATATGACATTTATTGTGGCGGTAGTTGTACTAGCTATTCAATGTGGGTTAAATCAAGTATATCGAGTTTGTTGTTGATGAAAGAACACTCCGTCATAACTTACACTGACAAGGGCCGATATTAAACAAGTCCGCTCTTACCACAAACGTTACTGGTTGACGTTTACCAGCGTATCCCAAATGCGTTGATTGTGCCCATAATGTCAGTCACTGGATTGTCTGGCCCAGACTCGATTATTACTACTTGGATATTCCTGAGTGCGGCTTTAAGCAATAAACTTACGCCAAGCACAGAGTGAGTGAGTAAGTTTAGTTGTACGCCGCACTCAGCAATATTCCATCTATATGGCGGTGAGGGTAATTGTGTAGCAGGGAGTGGTGGTATCCCACATGTGACATTTGGCATGCTGACAGGGCAAATATCTTTGATCGTGTGGATAAGACTAACGGGATCGAGTGGTCAGGCTCGCTGACTTGGTTGGCACATGTCATCGTATCCCAATTGCGTAGATCGATGTTCATACTGTTGATCACTGGATTATCTGGTCCAGGCTCGATTATTTACAGACCGTCGCCATACAACTGGAATATTGCTGAGTGCAGCGTTAAACAACAAACCAATCAACCAATCATGTGGACTACCTCCAGTAAGAAGGTACAAGGTCCTATGAACGAGACTCTGAAACATAATTGCAGCTACTCTTTGAACCCCAGCTGGGACATGGCCAGTATTGTGTACACTTGGTATAACCTTTGTCAAGCATGAATGCAACCTGCCGTTAAACTGTGAGGTCGCATTTTTTTAAAAAAAGCACAAAGTAACGCCCCGGTTCCACTGAGAGGAAAACACCGGGTGTTCAAACACCGGTCACCTCTATACCCAAGGTATTCACGAGCGATGGAGGAACGCAGTGATTACAAACACGTGAGACACTGAACATGTCGCAGAAACTCGTCCGAAGCTGTTGTAGTATTCAACTGATGCGTTAAATTTAGTTATTTTTCAAACTTTGTATATAAATGGTACTAACGGATTCGCAGCTCTGACATGCGCAGAAAGGTTACCGTGCAGCTCATTGACGGACGTGTTGGTAATGTCCCGTATTTCCTGGATGAGAATGACGTCATAGCGACTGACGATCTGCAAAATATGACAGTCGCTTGTTAACAGAACCAAAACGCGATTTCGAGATATGTACAGAGTCGTGCAAAAAGTATTCGGACACTTGACGTAACTTCCATAGACTAACATGTTAATTTAGTGCAGCGTAAATCATTTTCATGAATTTAATTTTCGTAAGATCCAAGTCAAATTTTTCACATTTGTGAGAAATCATCTTACCTACAATCGCATAATTTCTGTTTAATTTTCCGTTGCTTATTTATCGAATGGCAACAATGTAATCAACATATGTACAGTGCCATGAACTCCTTAACATGGCGGCCCATGGGATTGCGCATTGTGGAACCATACGTAAGTTGATAAATCCGATGTCATTTGTAAAATAGTGGTCGGAAAATTGAACCAAACTTATGTGCACAGAGCAGAGATGATTTCAGATTTGCCTGTAAAATTTTACAAAGATCCATCCTAAACTCACTCAATGAAAATTATTTATGCTACACTGAAATAACATGTAAGTCTATGGAAATTACGTTAAGTGTCCGAATACTTTTTGCACGACTCTGTATATATGTTCCTTGTGTGTGGACAAGATGGCGGCACATCCGGTCCCCATGGGCGCCGCCATCTTGATCAAGATGGCGACCCACGGGGACCGGATGTGCCGCCATCAGGGGAGATCACTCGTGTTCCGGTTCCGGTGCTTCCGGTTCCGGTGGGTGCGCACGCATCGCGATGACGTCACGACCGGTTCCGGTGGGTGCGCGCACATGACGATGACGTCACCTCCGGGCCAAGATGGCGGACGCGTTTCAAGATGGCGTCCCATCCGGTGGGATCGGGTGAGATCTCGCGGGATCTCGTGGATTCTCGCGGGATCTCGCGAGCGTAGACGCCTTTCAAGATGGCGGAACGGACGAGCGGCGGACGGGACGGGACGGAGAGGGAAGGGAAGGGAAGGAGAGGAAAAGGAGAGGGAAGGAGGGAGAGAGGGGGTGAGGCGGACACGATGGCGTGGCTAGACAAGTGTTAGTGTGTGTGTGTGTGTGTGTGTGGTTAAAACAACATTGGATGGAGCATTCTTTCGAGCCAGGTGGGTGGCCCTGAAAAGGGCCGTTGTGATGGTATGGACGGAAAGGTGAGACCTCACTTTGTGGTGGCGATGGTACATAGACAGAGCAGGTCGAGGCCCCGGAAAATAAATTTCCCGGGGCAGACTTCGTCGTGGAGATGGTTAGCCCCTTTGCGGACGCCGCCCCCGCAGTAGGTACACACGTAGTACGGTGCACCTGGGGCGACATCGAATTGGTTGGACGGCAAGGCTTTCCAACACGTTTGGCATATAATGAACTTCCAATTGGGTGGTAGACATTGCCATGCCGGTGGCGGAGGTGGTACTGCCGTGGATGGTGGGGCTGCCGCTGCTTCTGTCTCTTCCCTTTTGATGTCAGCCTTCCCTTGTAAGGTAGGGCTGCATCGTAGGCATTGCTGCCTACCACAATTTTTCCTGTAAGGCGTCGGTCGCATGACTTCTACTTTTCTTGTATTCATGTTGCATGAAGATAGCTCTCACTGACCCATGCTGGAGTTTATATATGGGCGACCAGACAGCGATGACGTGTCGTCGATGACGTGGTATCGATGACGTGGTATCGATGACGTCATGGTCGCGCGTGAGGGTAATGACGTAGTATCGATGACGTCATGGTCGCGCGTGAGGGTCATGACGTGGCACCGCTGACGTCATGATCGTGAGCTCTCACTATATAGGATGAGCGGAATGACCGAAGCAGTGTTACAATGGACAGAATGGAGAACTGGGAGTTAGAGCTGATACCCTTTGGAGGCACCATCGCCACCCCCTTACCGGCATGGCAGTGCCAACGATGTCATGGCTGCCTGCCTGTTTACGCTAATGGGACTGATGACTATCGTGGTACCTTCCAATGTGTATACTGTGGCACTGTCTTGAAGGACACGTACATCCGGCGCTTGACCCATGGGAGCAAGTGCCCCGTCAAGACAAAGATGACCATCCATCCCTGCCAATGTATGACCCCACTGTGGTCCCTGGAGTGAAGTACACTCCGAAAAAACGGCCCTTTTCAGGGCCATCCATCTCTCTCAAAAGAAAGGTTCGTTTCAATGCCAACAACAATAATAACAACATTAGGTTGACATTTTTCAAACGTTTTATTTCCCCCGCTAACAAGAACACTTTGACAAAAGAGACAGGATTAGGGGCGTCCCTGATCTTTTGTTTACAAACGGTATGAACTGTAACATTAGAACTGTAACATCAGAACTGTAACATCATCACATCAGAACGATAAGGTTGTGTCCTTTGGCAGGGGTGTGGATCATGGTCAGCGTTGTTGTTGTTGTCTGTCAGGCGTGCGGGTTGAAACCAACGTCTTACACGTTCTTCATTGACGAGGGTATCGTAGGGATCAAACTGTTCCATCACTTCGTCAAAAGACCATCCACGGGCACGATGAGCCAGTACATACAAACAGTACATTCCACAAGAGGCACTGAACCAGGGTTGAAGTGATTGACCATTCCACCGTTGTTGGAGCCATCCGGCGAAGGTCATGACATTTCGAAAGTCTGGATGCTGTTGATAGGGATGAAGTCCATAACTGTCAAAGTAGTCCATGGCACCTGGTACTGGACGATACACGCACACCCAGTGTTGTCCTGGGAGATGGCTGGGGTCCGTGTTGACAATGTAGGCTTTAGGATAATGTCCCTCCTGCTGTTCACACAGCACGGTGGTGGCAAAGTGATCTCGGCAAAGGTACCTTGGTAGAGGGGTCGCAGCAGGGGATCCTGTTGTACGTAGGCGCTCAAGTGCCTGGTCGCCAAGCCACTGTCGTCGCCGTCCCATCCTTAGACCATCAGAGCGCTATGAACCGATCAATTTCCAAAACGCCAGATTCCTCGTAGCAGACGAGCGTGACGGGCGTGGTAGGGTTCTGCAAACTGAAGTTCAAGTCCCAACTTGCCCGTCTGTCGTGGGTAGTTATACCCTTCATCTGCACCCAGATCCGCCGTCAGATCCACCACCCACACGGTGAATCCGTTCCTGAATTCGTCCAGGGTGAGGTTGCAGGGATGTTCTTGCCACAGGTGTCCCGTGGTTATGAACAGGTTCATGTACAACTGTTTGAGCGAGGCACTGTTGTCCTGAAAGTCGCTTTTGATTTCGGTGCCATGCACTTCTTGCCCATTGAGTTTCAGCTTGAGACTGGTCACGTTGTTGTGCTTGAAATGGTAGGGGTTCTTTTCCTTGCTGCCGGCAAAAGCATCATTGTCCACCAATCCCAACACCACTCGTTTGGGCAGTTGGCCTCCAATCAGTTGATCTTTGTGGAAATCGCGTCCTCCTCCTGAAATGTCGTGGGCTGTGACTTGACTCGGGTCAAAGGATATTTGGCCGCGACTCCTGGTGACATGTGTTTCACGTGTTGTTCCCGTATGGCAGGATCAATGTTGACTTGGCGCACGTAAAACTCGGCTTTGGTCAGTTCAAATCGGCACTCGACGCCTCCAGCACTCATCAAGTAGAAATCACTGGCTGCTTAATCAGTTCTAGTTTCATGGGGACTCCATCCACCAGGTACCGGGTCTTGGAGAAACAGGTCACAGTGGAGACGTCCTGTCAGTTCCACGCCTCGGTGGGTAGAATGGCCCCTTGTCGCGCGACAAGTCCGGCGCTGGCATTCTGGGCCCAGCATTAAAGTGATCCATTTTTCCAGCTTCATCGGTGTACCATCCTGGACACTGGAGATGGGTCCCTTTGGCTGCCTTCCCATAACTCAGCAACGTTTCCAAATAGGCTCGGTAGGGATAGGTACCCATGGAAGGAGTAATTTCCAGCTGGTTGTGTCCCACTTGTACACGCACTTCACGAAAGAGGGAATGCATCATGTTGTTCACCGTGGACACGGCGAGTGCGTGATCGCCATCATGAACTGCATTCGTACCATCTGTATTCTTGATTTTGAGGCAGATGCGGAGGTAACACTGGCTCAAATCGATGTAGGCATTGACAGGGTTAGCAATGTTAAATTGGAGGGGGCCCGCAACCGAAGGGGGTGCCAGAGGGCTGTATCGAATCCACTGACCTTCTTGGACGGACGTCACCACAGGGGGCACAGAAAAGAGATCCAGTTGGGCCTTGGAGCATTCACAGGCATCTCGGCGCATCATCTTGACAGCTGATCTGGACCGCAGGTCTGCACCACAGGTCTGCACAACACGTCTTGACCCTACGGTGTCTGGTGTTGAACTGAACCCCTCTTTCATCTGGACGGCCCTTTATGCTGCCTGATCAGGGACATCTCGACCCCAACAACTACAGGTGGTTGCTGGTGGTGTACTGTGTTCAAAGCACGTTGCTCTTCTCTTGCATTCTTCTTCTTCTCCTTTGGCCACCAGTTGTCTGTAGTTGTCATTGATTTCCTCCTCAGGACAAAACAGGCACAAGTATTCACAAGGGACTTCGCATGCTTCAGGTGTTCTCGCCAGGGTTGGTCTGTGGCTTCCCATCGATGAATTTTCAGGCCGCAACAATAACAGATCACACTATCACCTCGTCCATGATAGAAATAGCCAGCCATGGCCATGTCATAAGGACACTGGGCCATCTGTATAGGCCATGTTCGAAACGACCTCGCACGTTGATAAAACTTGGCATACTCGGGTGAGTAGGATTCTTCAAGCTGTATCCAGGTTGTGTCCATGAGGATGACAGAGGAGAAGGAATATCCTCTGAGGGTCTCCATGGGGATATATCCACATACAACTTCTTGTGCCTGATCTTTGAGACACCCATTCCGTATCGGGACATCGAATGCACTCATGCTGATACGTCTGCACTGTCCAACGACTTGAAGCCAAATGACGCCTTCTCTCAAAACAAGGGTTTACGCTTCTTGGTGGATCCCACGGACTGTTTCCGCTTTCGTTTGCGAGCCGGTGATCCTGGTGGTGGGTGCTGTCGCAAGGTGTCGAGTAAGGCTTGTTTTCCAT